TTATGGAAACGGCTTTAAACTTCAAAGGATTTCTTGCTAGTTATCCAGGATAAGATGATAAAATGAACGAATACTCATGCCCTCAATCAACACCATCCAACGGCCAAATTTCGACAAATCGAGTGGAAGTCATGCGTGAGGGAATCTGCTTTTGACCACGAGATTGAGAACTGGGAAAAGGGCTGTTATTAGTCTCGATAAATAACAATTACGTAAAACACGGCGATTTGCGTAGTAACACGGGTGATCGGGTGCCCGGCCACTTTTCAAGCAATTCCTTGCTGCCATCTGAAAATTCTCAAAACTAATGAGAAAAATTGTTACCGAGCCGTTACCGACTTTCCTCTGCTGGAATTTACAATTTCACGCCTAACTAAAGCTTTCTTAAACGTTATATGCTCCCAGAAAACACCAAACAATAGCCACTTCTAGCCGTAAGGCACCGCGAAGCCGGATAGTCTGCGCAGGTATAGGCTATGCTTTTCATGCAAAAAATTATCATGCCATTTTTCCGTTAATCTCCGCTAGAATACAAAAAAACTACCAAAAAAACACACCTTACCAACCGGCGAACGAATTACAAGCTAACCGAAAACCCGGAAAACTACAAAAAAACGCTACCAGCAATCGGCTGCCTGACAGCCGGTATCTGAATGATAGGATGCATCAATTCATCCATCACAATCTGCTGTGCTTGTTGGTGATGTGGCTGGTGTTGTTGTTGTCTATCATCCCTCTCAGCCATCGTCGAGAGTTCATCGTATTTTGGAGGGGATGAGGGAAGTGAGGTGGCCATTTCCAGGGCTGGTAGGCTCCAAATGGTGCCCGTGATGGGTGACCCCTTATCGTTTCAATACCAATTGTTGACACATCCTCGCGATGGTTAATGATAACAGGGGGTGGTACTTGAAGCAGGCAGCGTCATTTGGGCGACAAAACGCTTTGGAAGCCAAAACCCTGAAAACTGTTAGAACTTCCTAAAAAAACGTCGAGGCGTTTGATTTTATTACACGCAACACACACATGAAAGACAGCAGGGGTATCTCACAGAAGTGAATAGCAAACGGGGTAAGTGGATGTTTTATAAGAGGGTGGATTACATAGGACACGACATTGGCATATAGAATACAAATTCTATTAAATCTATGCGAAAACCAACACAAAATAACAATGAGGTGTGGTGTACACACACTGGGAGATTATTATCGGCAGGTATTATTTCGTTGAAGCGGTGTTAGGGTGACGGAGACGGGCGCCTGGCTCTTCAGACCATAGATGGCGTTTCTTCACGAAGAGCCTAGAAAAAGAAATCTTTTTACAAGGAGCAACTATTACCTCAACAGTTTCGACAAAATAGATGGCCCGGTCGAGAATGACGTCGTACTCGCCCTGTAGACGATAGTATTCTGACGCCGTACGCCGGGAGACAGCCGCCTGGAAAAAAGTTAGATTGGTTAGTTTCAGTTCGGGGTAATAAAACGGGTTACAGGCTTTTAGGACTTCTTTACTATCCAGATTTAAAGCAAGCAGCCTCATCGTAATAAGTGTTTTCCATAATCTTTATAGTAAAATCTAGCTAAATCTCAGCGCAAAATTTTAATAGAAACCCTAACCGCTTAAAAATTCAAAAATTTGTTAGAAACCCTTCACATATTGTATTTAAAAGGTTCTCTGCCAGTTTTCAAAGCCCCAAAAATAGTAAAAACCGTTTCGAAACACTATGAATTCGAATCCCCCGGGGTGGAACTCTGAAAGCAAAAGTCGATAGTTTTACACGAAAATCCCTTACATAATGCGCCGTCTTGGTGAGCATCTCCTGCATTGCCCACGACGCCTTGAGCACTATATCACTGCCCGGCCGCAAATCCGCCGGGTTGTCGACGTAGGCGGCCAGATACGCGGCTGCGAAGATTGAGTGGTGCGGCTTGCTGACGTCCACCTTCTCGCGCTGGTAGTCGTGGGGAATTGTTGCGTAGAGATCCTAGAAAGTGAAGGTTAAACGCCAAATTCCGCTAAATTACCTTCGTTTCCCGATGCAATCGGTGGGCGAGGGTGAGCATGTCCTGGTAGATGTCGTTGATCCGCGTCAGCCCCGTGGTCACCGTTCGCGAGGTACAGGCCTGAAAACAAAAATTAATTTCTCAAAAAGCAGAAGGTTGTTACCAGATCTGTCAGCACTCGGATATCATCCACTAACAGGGCCCGCCGGTCGACAATTTCTTCCTCCGTCACTTGATCGTCTTTGCCGAATTCGGCAAGGTAGGGAGATCTAAAGAAAAAGGGGGAAATTCGATGGAATGTATTACCGCTTCAAGGACATGCCGGGATTGCGTAGAGAAGATTCCGGGTCGGTGTCATCACTGTGGAATGAATGGAGGGGTGGCCACTGAAATGGGATAAAAATAAAATCGAGAAGCGAAAATGAACGAACTGGAAAGAAAGAAGCAAATCACGGTGAAAAATCTTTAGAAAAGCGCCACTAATCTCTAGAGCTTATCAAAATCCTGAGCAACAGACAAACAGATGTGCCTGATTTTTCAAAAACGCGCCATTACCCGCCCACCTTTTCGATGCACTAATTTTCGCAACTCAACTTTCAATGCACTAATTCCTACAAGCCAGCGCTTTCAGCTTCAACAATTTCAGATATTCTGCCATGGTATTTACACCAGTGTTCCACCAGCAAAATCCAAGTCAATTGTGGAGCAAAAAGTCTTTATGACGGGGCAAGTCAACAAACAGCCAGGAAAGAGGAAAATGTATTAAAACTTTATCTCTTCCTAGCTACAGAATACAATCAAATCACCAATTGCTAATGGAAACAAGGGGCGAACACGATAAGTTACAGGAAGATGTGGGGGACGATATGGCTAGTTGTGTGAAGCGGATGGAATTCGCGTCGATCCCTCAGCGGCCTCGCACGCGGTGTTTAGGCGCCGTGGGTCTTGACCAGCTCCTCAGCCTTCTTGAACACGTCGTCGATGCCACCTTGCATGTAGAAGGCCACCTCCGGCAGATGGTCAAGGTTCGCCTGGAAAGAAAAATATAAATCGTTGGTCAACATGGTAGAAAGAAGGGGCATGATTCAAATTGAGAGGGCCCCTTTATCCTTTAAGCAAAGTGGCCCGCACCAACTTGAATGGGACCAAAAAGCAATCAAATCGATACCATTGAGAACCATTTGGAACCCGCGGATGGTCTCTTCGAGGCTGACGAACTTTCCGGCGTGTCCCGTGAACACCTCGGTGACTTGGAAGGGGGGCTGCGAGAGGGAACGCTGGATCTTGCAGGCACGAGACACCGTCAGCTTCGTCTTCCGACAGCTCGTCCATACCAAGGATGCTTGGGTGATACTTTGGAGCGATTTGTAGTCCTGAAGGATTTTCTGGACACCGCGGGCAATGTCGTAGTGATGTTGGCCGACAATGTTCGGGTCCATGATACGCGATGTCGAATCGAGCGGGTCCACGGCCGGGTAGATGGCCAATTCGGCGATACCACGCGAGAGCACAGTCGTCGCGTCAAGATGGGCGAAGGTGGTAGCCGGGGCCGGGTCAGTCAAATCGTCGGCGGGCACGTAGATGGCTTGCACGGAGGTGATCGAGCCCTTGGTAGTCGTCGTGGATGCGCTCCTGCGTACTACCTGAAAAAAGAATGTAAAAACGAATTTGGGCAAGGTAATGAACAAAAGGAAAAGTTAAAGCCTAAACGCACCCATGTCGGTGGCGAAGCGTTGGCTGATAACTCGACAGCTGACGGGATACGACCGGGAGCAGAGCAGACACCCTGATCCGGCTGGGTTGAAACGGAAAAGGCGACTGGCGATGAAGAGTAGCACGTCTTGTGTCCCTCTTGATCACGGAAGTGTTCCGGCAGCATATCAGTCCAGTCAAGCCACACGAGCGGGGCACCACACGGGGCTCGTTCGTTTGTCCGTACCACTGGCAGCGACACCTTTCGAGTTGTTGCCCTTGAGGTCGATGACCCCTCCTTCAATCATCTCGTGGTACAAGATCGTTTTTTTTCCTTCACGCGTGCGCTCTCCGACTCCAGCAACACCGGAGCGATCCTCCGTGGGGCGTACGGCGACGTTGTTGATCCAGCTCCATGATGAGCACAGTCTTGCCGACAGCCGGCACCTCCCGAACAGTCCAATCTTTCCACCACTTTGCATGGGGGCGAACGAGATCGACGACCGCGATGCCAGAGGCGACGAGAATCTCTTGCTCCACAGACATCTCCCACACGAACTCGGGGGCTTCAGCGTGGATGGGGCTCGGTGCTTGGGATGCGATCGGTCCACGCGCTCATCCGATGGGCTCGCCGTTATTGACGTTCATGATGCGGCCGAGCGTCTCCGGTCCGACCGGGATCTTGCGTCCGGATCTTGCTGGGTGTCGACGACTTCTTGGCCCCGGACAAGACCCTCGGTACAAATCGTCCGCTGGCAATGCAGCGAACGACGTTGTCACCTAAGAAGATTGATTCCACAGAAAAAGGAAAAGCAAATTACCGGGATGCTGCGAAACCTCCAGGATCAAGCGCGGCGTACGTCCGGTGACCTCTCCAGGCCGTTGGAGGATTGGTGGCAGATTCTCTGCGTCGAACTGCACGTCGACGACGGCACCGATGGCGCTGGCAACAGAGACGGCCCTTGGACGACCACTCGGCGGCAGGTGGCGCCTAAAACACATGGCTGCTAACGACGCGAAGGACTTTACCTGCTGGGCCCGCTCAGCCCGGTTGTCAGACGAGCGGGTGGACCCTTTTGCCACACCTTCAGGGCGGCGGTGGGGACTGGGAGCGCGGCGGAAAAGAAAGTAAACCAATACAAAAGGGAAAAGTTACCGCTCTGCACGGCCGGGACCATGCGCTGCACGTTAGCTTGCGTGGGGAGACGGGCCGTGGCCCCAGGCCTCAGAGTAACCCCGGACGAGAATAGCCATACCGTTTTACCCTGGAAAGGAAAATGTAAAATTTGAAAAGGAGAACGAGAGTGAGAATTGAATGGAAAAGCAAAGCAGAGCAACAATAGAAAAGGGCGAAAGCCAAGTGGCAAGGGAGCGCAAGAATAGGTAAAGTGAAAAGCCGAAATTGTGGCGGGGGAAGTAGTTTTTAGCCCCTAAAACATGGAGCTACGGATCAAGAATCGAGCAAAAGTAAACTGATAAATGAAGCTCATGAATGCAAATTTGGCAAGGGAAAGCAATAAAAATGAAAAAGAAGCAACAAACCGTCTCGCAGGCTCGCGCCTGGGAAAAATGAAAGTTTCCGAAAATTCGAAACAGCTCGACGGTGCACGACAATCATTGGCCGTCCATAGGTTTGTCGCGGAATGCCCGGAAAGGCTCGGGGTTTAATTGGAATGCGTATTCCGTCGTAAACCCTTTTCGTAGCCTATTTGTGAAATTTGTTGGTTTTTATTTAGTTTTGCATTGTAAAATTAATAAATTAAAAACGTAAAAAGCGTTGGGCATTTGTAGACAATCCGAACTAGGAGATAAACTAGTTGTTTGACGAGGAAAGCTGTTTTTTGACGTGAAAAGGGTCTTATTGCCGTCCGAAAATTTATTCTTGCAGCAAATAGTGTTTTTGTGGAGAAAATGTTGATTTTGCTTATTTTTAAGTGGTAAGGGTAGAGAATCAAAGCGTTGATTATTCAGGAGAAGGCAAGTCTAGGCGATAAACAAGTTTGGACGATGCGAGCTGGATTTTTGGCTTGAAAAGTATGCTATTGACTCCGAAAAAACTTTATTCTTTTTAGGAAAAGGCTTTTTCCGGTTTGAAAATATCTATTGAGCGAGAATCAAGTGAATTGCAAGTATAAAAGTGAGGCTTATCCGGACAAAAGCGAGAAACGGTTAGAAAAGCGTTAAATAGAGGCTGTATGATGACACAATCAACCGAGCACTACCACAACAAGTTCCCATGGATAATATTCTGACGCTGAAAACGGGCGAAACGAACGATTCGGTGGATGATAATTGCTTGGAGGGCGAGAAGCGAGACGAGCCACCCTTGGAGGGCAAACATTTCGGGAACGCTGAACGTCTTCAAGATGAGCATCGGAAGGAAGGGGAAGAATGGCGCGCAAACGACAATCACTATCCAAAGTAAGGATTTGTAGGTGAGATCGACTTGTGGGGTATCGGAATGAGGGATTGAGCGGAGAAAGCGAGCAACAATATAGCTGTAGATGAGGAAGAGGATAGATAGAAGATACATATGAAGGGGATGACACGAATAGAAACCGGCAACGGATTGGGTATAGACGAGGGAGAGGGTCGAGAAATTGAGGAGGGTCAGAGGGCCGATGAGGAAGAGGGAAGAATAGATCGTGAAGATGATCGGGATGATGGCGTCGTGTTGGAGACGTGGGAGGAGATGGAAGAGGAGGCGGAGGATCGGGAAGGAGAACAGGAGTTCGGGCAGGGCACGCACCAGGAATGCCTGTAATTTATGTACCAATGTTGTTTTATTTATTTATTTATATTTGACCAAAAAGCTCTAAAAAGCCAAAGAAACTGTATTTGAATAGCTTTTTTGACCAGTTTTTGGCCACTTTTGGCCACCTTTCAAACATTTTGAACAACTCATCAGCGTTTTCGTGGTTTTGTAAGTTTCCTTTAGTTGTTTTTATATTAAAACAGTTATTAAATGCTAAGAAAAGCTATAGCGCCATCGGAAAACCAGAAACAAGAGAATACACATCTATTTTTCCAACATTAATCGATATTTTTAGCTAGTTTTCTCGCGTTTTTAGCCTGGGCAGCCTAAGTTTATAGTCGTACTACTTCAAATAAGTCTAGATACCTTACGAGAACCTGTTAGAACTTTTTCTACATACCTCAATGTCAACAACGATTGCCCAATGGCCGAATTTGTCGGGCAGATGTGGATTACGAAAAGGCGGGACGTGCCAAATCCGTTCCCTCGGCTCGAACCACGTCAGCAGACACTAAAAGCACAGTATTAAGGTTATATTTAGATGTCGTAATCGATTAATCATGTTTAGCACGACCTACATGGAGTGTGCCGACAATGATGAGACAGATTTGCATGTATTGACACCATCCATACGCCAGATTCGTCTTTTCCACTGGAATCGGAGTGGTCGGGAGCAGGAAGTTGTGCGTTCTTACCATCAACTGGGGCTGCTCGTTCAGTTACAACGGTGGCTTCTGTGTAGACCGGTGGATCGAGGCCTTCTCGGAGAGCGTCCTGTAATGCATAAGAAATGGTAAAACAACAAAAAGTTACAGTTAAAACCCCGATTTTCTGCTACTTAGAGCGCTTTTCAACTATTTCGTGGAAAAGCACGGGCGGGTTTTGTGTAATTTGCGGAAAAATCGCCAGTTTCTCGTCAGCTTCTGCCAACGTTGACCATGAACAGCTTTCAAAAACTGTGGATTTAAACGATAAATTTCTAACTAAAAAAACTCCGCCAGAAAAGCGTGCTCTCCTCATTTTTGCTAAACATTTTAGCGACGAATTCCGTCAAAATCCGAGTGAAATCGCGAAATAAACCTAATTTAGCTGCAAATTTTGTTTTACAATTTGAGTTTTTACACCAAAATTGTATTCAGGTACCTGGGATGGACGGTCCGCTTCGATCAAGACGATGGAAGATGGCGGCATACTGGAAAAAACGGGTAAGGCTCTGGACGATCCACCCAATGAAGCTCAAGCTTCCGCAAAGATATTTGCTATCTCTCGCCCCCTAATCTCTAAAAATAGAAAGAAATGAAAATTCCTGAATAAATGCCGTAATCAAAAAAAAGAGATTGAGAAATGGGGAAATGAAGTGGGGTGTGATATTTGAGGATGGGGGAATCGAGTGCCCGGAGGATGTTGTTTTAGTTTTTAGATGGGGGGAACGAGATGGTGATCACAGATTGTGGGAAGGAGAGAGAGAGAGGGAGAGAGAGAGAGAGAGAGAGAGAGAGAGAGAGAGAAAGCTTTCCCCTTGATTTGCTATTCCAGAAATGAGTCATCATTTGACTCGACAACATTGTAAGGGCAAATCCGGGTAGCCGGAGATGGAAAGATATGGTGTGTTGACATTCTGGAGTGACCATGGCAGGCTAGCAGAGAACGTTTCGGTCGCTTTCCACCAGTTGGTTCCGGGGAGAAAAATGCATTTTTTGCCGGAATTTTGAAGTATTTGAGCGACGACAGCTTCCATGGGAACCACCTCCACAGGTCGAGGCGGCGTTTCGGTATGGGACCGAGCTTATTTTGTGCAGAATTTTTCCCTGATTCCGAATCCGCTGCCAATGTTTACCAAATAGCTTGTGTTAGAAAGTTGTAGCGGTTCAAAGCTACATTTTTTTCCCCAAAATTGCGAATTTCAAACTAATTTTTTTTGTCTTTCCCAGCTGATTTCTCAAAAAACGAGGCCGTAAGGCATCTGCGATTACCCATTTTTGGCTGTTCCAAATGACCGGAAAAACGTTAATTTTCTGAATTTTGCCCAATTCTAAGATTTTTTAATATACAGCAGCAGCAGCGGATTACATGATTTTTCGTTTTTTTTTTAAATTTTTGGTGTACTCTCGATTCCAGTGGCAACATGCCCTCCCCGATTCGAGCAGCGGATCCGGATTTGTTGGTTGCTTTTTCGGGATTGTCAATGGGGGGAAAGAGTTCACGTATGAGTTGGCAGTCTGTCTCTCTCTCTCTCTCTCTCTCTCTCTCTCTCTCTCGCTCTCTCTCTCACTCTCTCCCTTTGTCTCTTTTTGGGGGTCTATGCTTACAATATCCGGTTGTTCTGCCGATAGCCACTAGTAGTAGCTGGGATAGTGTAGGGTAATTGTCACTCTCTCTCTCTCTCTCTCTCTCTCTCCTCTCTCTCTCTGTCTCTCTTCTACCGTACCCTCTGGGACCGGATCCTGAATCCCGACACGCTCGATCGAGATCCCCTCTCCTCTACTCGACCTCTACCACCCAAACACCCATTATCGCCTCAACCCCTTTCCCTATTTGACACTTTCCAATCCAAGCCAACATGTTTACCATTTCGTGCCCTTTTGCACTGTATTTTTCAAGTTTACTTGTCATTTTTACATTTTGACCTTGTCACTGTCCCTTTAAACTGATTTTTAGACATTTTAAGATCATGAATTCGGTGCTGCGGATCATTTTGTTGCTCCTTTTGATGGAGAGCATATGGGTAAGGAAATAATGGCAAACTGGCAGAGAGCATTGTGGAAGACGGGCAAAAGGGCGAAGGCAAGCTAGCAGTTTTTCTTTAGGAATTTGTTAGTTTGACCAGTACTCAGTTAGGTATTTAAGGCAGGCTATAGCAAAGATTCTTTAGGAACCAAAATCCGATCAATCCGGAGGCAGGCTAGCAAAGATTCCGCGAGAATTTGAACGGTCGTTTGTCTCCAATTTTACGACTAGGCGGTGGGCAAACTAGCAGAGATTCTTTGGGAGCTCGAGAGACCACTATTGCCCAATTTGGCGGGCTAGCGAAGATTCTTTAGGAACTAACATTCCGAAAAATGAGGGCGAGCTAGCAGAGAACATTTAGGAAATCCTATTCCCCCATTTAGTCAGCCCCAGCCGAGAAGCAGAAACGAAATGAGGAGACCAACGAGATCGAGCAGCTCATTGAGGAGGTATCATCACCCATAGTGTCATTCATTTTTGTCAACCTTTCCAGGTAGAACACGCCGCGTCCACCGTGTCCTCTGTCGGTGAGCAGGTCAAGGATCGGGTCGGTTTTTTGAGGTTTAAAAATTTATTAAAGGACCAGCGCTGACCCCCCGCTACGCGGGGGTTCAGCGCTGGCCTCCGCCCCCCAGGCATCGCACAATTTGAATTTGGCATTTGAATGCAAAATTTGGCTGAATTCCCGGTCGGCGGTCGGGCGTACGGACATTAGAAATTTAGATATAGTAGATCCTGCCTGGTAGGCAGGGCTCTGGGTTTTCGGGGCGTAGAATTTTGCCAATAAGAACTTCTTGGAATGCACGACGTGATGGAACGCGCCGCGTCTGCGTTGCGTGTCGGCGGTGCGGAAAACCTTTAGGAATTTATGGGCTTCCTTGGGCCTTTGGAACACTTTTTAAATTTTTTTGATGAAAATTTTGCTGTAACACAACACGAAAAGGGCTCTTCTTTACGTGGAAAAGTACGGGTTAAAACCCATTACCTAAAGAAATAAGTACGCGCGCGTCGCGTGTGGCGCCGAGGTGTAATTTCCATGAATCCACAGGCAATAGTGCCTTGTCAATCCCTTTAAACCCTTCCCTCCTTTCAGCTAAACCAACTGCGAGCAGCTGCCCTCCGCGAGGCCAACGTCACGGCTACGGTACGTACGTGAGGAGGGTTGTTTGGTTGTTGCTTGGTGTGGAGCGGGATCCTGTGAATCTGGGGGCTTCTCCGGGTACATTCTGCCGGTTGGGGGTCAGCTTATAGCTTCTTTCGAGGGGCTTCTTCTCCGGGTTTTGCCAGGCAAAAAACGGGCGCCAAATCCACGTAAGCAACCCTGTTTTTGCGATCAAAAAAAAAAGAAGATTGGGCTGAAAAATTGCATTTTTAAGCAGAAATTATGTCAAAAAATACACTTTATTTTCACCTTTTGAAAAATTTTCCATTTTTTTGGGAATTTTATAATTCAATTAACGTTTTTGAACCGATTTTAGGAGCGAAAATAGGCTGATTTTCGAGATTAGCCGGTTTTTTGTGTTTTTAAAGATCTAGGCCTTTTTCAAGGTGTACTGTAGCAAAAACAATGTTTCCAATAATGTTTTCGTCTTTCAGAAAATCGTCTCCCGTGCCTGTACTACGGCAGATTGCAATGAACGGGGCACTTGCATGGGGACACTCGAAAACTTTGTCTGTCTCTGTCAACTGGGCCATTCCGGAAAGTTTTGTGAGGATGGTACGTTTTTAAATCATATTTCGATCGAAATAACGTAAATTGACACGCCGCGACACGCAACGCGCCGCGCGGGCAAGCCGAGGCGTGTTGCATGTCTTTGCGTATCGCGTTGAGCGTCGCGTTGCGTGCTGAGTTGCGTGCAGGGTTGCGTGCCACGTTGCGTATTGCGGCAAAATCTACACTTTTCCCATTTTTTATCCTTTTTCCAGCGGTCTGCGATTCGAATCGAGATTGTAATGGCAGAGGGTTGTGCCTCGGAACGGTCCGTTTTGTTTTTAACATAGATAAAAAAAAAAGCATGAAAAATTAGAAGAAAAATTTAGCAAACCAAAATATTATAATCTAGAAATACATTTTTGGGTGATATTTACAAAACTCCAACCTAAAAATTTTAGAAATTATAAAAGAAATTGCAAATTTTAAACCAAGTATTTTCGGAATTAAAAATTGAAAGTTTAGCACATTAAAAACAAATTTAGAAAAATTTCCAAAAATTTAAAGCTAATTTTTGAATTCTGAATCTTTCAAACTGTATTTTTATTGTAGGTAAATCGTCTGAGTTGTCTGTGCAATCTGGGATTCACGGGATCCCGCTGTGAGACCCTGATTGCATAACATCCAATCGACTACACTACGCAACACTCCACCACCCACCACGCTACGATACTTTGATCATTTTTTTTGCCTATTAAATACTGTATTTTTGATTACGATAAACAGTTCGTTTTGAGACAAATATATGGCTGGCGACGATGCAGAGATTCTTTGGGAATTCTCGATTTTCGGGAGTTTTCGAGAAAGAAATACAACTGGATACATATATGCGAGCTTTTTCACGAAGCAAACTAGCAAAGATTTTTTGGGGGTTTATGGGTTTTTTTGGTGCAGGCTAGCAATCTGCTAAAAATGCTGCTGCTAAAGCATTCTTTGAGATTCTCGTGGTTTTTATGGCCGGCTAGCAGAGAATTTTTGTCGAAAAGTAATCAGGAATTTTTTAAATTTCCTGGCAGCAAGCTAGCAGAGAATCTTGCGGAATTCAGGGTTTTTGAGTAGACTAGCAGGGGTTTTCAGGAAACCACTTTAGGTTTCGTTTGCTTGACCTAGGCAATCTAGCAGAGACAATTTAGGACAGTTAACCCTCTTTTTGTAATTTCAGAATGTTTCTGATGGCGAGCTAGCAGAGATTCTTTGTGGAATTCCCTTTCTTGTCCTAAAAAACAACAAAAATCAGCGGAAGAACGAGGGAATTAATTGGAAATGGATAATAATTGGCCCCCGCTTCGTCACACCCCCATAAAAGGCCTTTTCCCGCAATAATCCACCTTTCGCCGTCATTCCGTCCATTCGCGTAGTTGGGCCCAAAAGAACTGCAAAAGGAATGCAATCAGCCAGCAATTTGCAACAAATCCCGGGCCGACCGGAAATCATTTTGGGTGCTGGTGCTTTAGCGGGTGGGGGCGGGGGTTTAGCCGGGCAAAAATATTATTTAAGCATAATTGAAATTTTAATTTTTTTTTGGTGTTTTTAGCAGTTTTTAAGTGTTAGAAAATTACAAAAATTTTTCTAAGAATGTTTAAATGTTTAAATATTTGGCTTGTTGTGAGCAGTTTTCATAAATTTTTCCCCAAAAAATTCGAAATTTTCGAATAGGCCAATCCCCCCGCTAATGCACCAGCACCGGCATTTTGAAAGCCGGCTAGAAGCGATTCTTTAGTAAATGAATTCCCTGTTAATGCGCAAGCGCTTGATTTTAAGGACAGGATAGCAAGTATCTTCTAGAAATAGGAAATTATCCCCCACCTCTAACGCACAAGTACCCATTTTAGGGCCGGCTAGCAGGAATTCTTATGGAAAGCATATTAGTGTCAAAAAACCTTTCCCATCCCATTCCCCCCGCTAACGCACAAGCACCCTGGCTTTCGTGGAAGGATAGGAGGGACTCTTGCGGAAATCGGGTGATCACGAAAAAATAATTTAAATAATTTAATAATATTTTCGTAGTGGGATTACGGTATTCCATTTTACACCTCGTTGACGGCAATAGGAAGGGATCGAATCGGATAAGCCTGGGCCAACACTTTTTTTTGGGGATAAGCTTATAGCTCTCCGAAAAAGGGGAGGGCAGGGTAGAAAATGGCGGAACTCTAATCCCACACTACTTCAGATTCAGAGCACCAAATAGGGAACATCGCCAATCCCCCCTAGAACTACACAATTTTCGGGGGATTACGGTAGTGTGCGGCGCTTCCTCAAGGGCCCTGCTATCTGCATGTTTTTCCTTAATTTCCTAAGCGGTTTCTGCTGGATCCCTTCCGTTCCGCAAAGATTCTCGGCTATTTGTCTCTTTTTCGATCCCGCGTTTTAAATGGCCACTGCTAGCTTGCTTGCCTCTTTTCCCTTCCGCGAATCGTCTCCGCTATGTTGTCTGTTCTCTTTGAATTCCTAAATAATCTCTGCTAGCTTGCGTTTTTTTCCGCAAAGAACTCTGCTAGCCGGCGTGCTTTTTTACATACTCAAATCACCTATGCTAGGTTGCCTTGTTCCATTTTAAATTTCCTAAATGGTCTCGGCTAGCTTGCCCATCTTCCAATTCCACTAATGCTCTCCGCTAGTTTGCCCATTTCCATTATTATTTTCCCCAAAAATCTCTGCTAGATTTCCTGTCCATTGCATTTCCTTAAATTATCTCTGCTAGTTTGCGTCAGCTTTTGCTCATTCCTCAAGAATCTCCGCTAGATAGCCTGCTCTTTCCATGGCCAAATTATCTCTGTTAGATTGCCTATTAGGTTCTTCTTCTCAAATAGCCTCTGCTAGCTTGCCGATTTTGTGTATTTTTCCGAAAAGGTCTGTGCTAGCCCTCCCGGCTCCTCTTACCCCAGAAGCTAAGGTACGCTCCAAATTGCACCCGTAATTTTGGCGCCCCAAAAATGGGCGGTTTCGGCCATTTGGTTGGGTCGTAAAGTGAAGCCGCGCCTAGTGGAATTGCGTTGTTTTTGAGGAATTCCGAGAGAATACTAATGACGCGAATGGGCAAGCGAGCAGAGAACATTTGAGGACAGGAGATAGAGAGAGTGGGTGAGAGAGAGAGAGATCAAGGCAGCGGAGATTCTTTCGGAATAGGGAATCCAGATCTTTGGGGCATGCTGGCAAAGACCACTTGTGGAAATGATGGATTTCTCGGGATTTGGGGGAAGAGATAAATGCCGAAGCCATTCAGCCGTGGCTCTCTCTCTCTCTCTCTCTCTCTCGTTTCAAAGGCTTCTCCCCCTCCCCAATCCTAATCATTTTCACCCCAAAATTCGTTTGATTACACTCATGACCTCTCAAATGTTGATTCTGATCTTTCATGCGAATTTTCACCAGCTGACTGTAGTAGAAAAATCCGGATCAATTTATTGAATTTTTTCTGCTTTTTTGTATCCTCAAGGTTTCCGCTAGCTGCCTCCTCTCCGATGGCCTCTGCTGGCTTTTTGGCAATTGATTTTACATAGATAATTTTTTGGTGCTTTTGCATTATCGGGGGTGACTTTTTGTAGTTATCGACGCCTAGTGTGCCAGAGGGGTGGATTCTGACACTTCCTAATTCCTTTAAACCTGGATTTGGCAAGCTAGCAGGGACAATTTGCCACAAAAAATGTCTTGGAGGCTGGTTTCTGATAGCCGAAGGGCGGGTCCAGCCGGGTGGACATCAACAATGCTTCTCCCCCTCCTTCTCTTGTTCACAAAATGGAGATTAGGGGTCGACAGCCCCGCTCTTCTTTGGCCCAGATCTCTCTCTCTCTCCCTCTCTCTCTCTCTCTTCCTCTTTCATCTGCCACCAGAAGAAGAAGAATGCATCCATCCGTATGACGTCTCCTTGTCCCCGCTCAAGAATTCTTGCATTCAACGCGAGCATTTTGCACTGGATCTTTGCAAACCGGTTTAATGGATAAATCTGGATCTTACTGGATCTTTGAATCTGTGGCTAATTGGTAAGGCTCTCGCCGCCCATCCACACGACCCGGGTTCGACCCCCGTCCGGTGCGAAATTTTTTATTTTGGGTGATAGGTCTTAGCATCAATGCGTTAAACTTAAAATATCGTAAGTTTAGCACTTCATCCTGTTTTTCCGATTTTTACGACCAATTCCTGTGTTCCGCAGTTCTTTTGATGTACGGAACACTCCAGTGTCATTCGGGAAATGGTCTATGTCTTGCGAGACTAAAGATTATCGGAAAAAAGGGAATTTTCATGTCGTACTGACTTGTTTTACTTTTTTTGGTTGTCTGTCGCTCTCTCACTCTCTCGCTCTCTCGCTTTCTCTCTCTCCTATAATTATAATAATTGCCCCTCCCGTGTCATGTCAATCCAGTGAGTCATTATTGTTTCACATTTCATTTTACACCTTTCACCTCCTAATTAATCATATTTTTCACTTTTAAAGGGTGGTGACACATTCGTCGATTTTTTTCTAGCGTTTTGGTGCTGTCACGCTCCCTTTAAAGGGGCTATCAAGTGGCAGAATCGAGCCCTTCTAGCCGCTAGGTGCTGACAACTACGGGCGGCACCAAATTACGCAAAATTTAATATGTTGCAGCATGAGCTTTGAAAAATAGTTGTTTTTGGATCTCGGAGGGTATTTGTCGAGACCGATCGACCGACGGGGGTAGATTTTCGCGTTTTTTAGCCAGCTTAACCGGATTTTTCCATTTTTGGACACGACCTGGCACGGTACCGTACCGCGTTTGGGTCCAATTTCCGACCTTTCCCACGATCTATCCTACTGCTAATCCCTCCCCATGTTTCTCTCTCTGTGTGTCTCTCTGTATCTCTCTCTATCCCCTGACCGGATATCCCAATTCGCCGACCCCTTCTTCCAAATCTCCCAAATCTAATTTTTCTGCAAAAAGACACGTTGCCCCTGCAAGTTTTGCTAGGGCTGATGTTGAAGGGGGATTATGGTAATTCTATTTCTAGGGACAGGAAATATAGAGAACAGATCCCGCCCTTTTTTTTGGCAAATTTTCAATCCGGCGTCAAAGCGTAAAAATCGGAAAAACCAGCTCTCCGTTCCTGTGGCTAATTGGTAAAGCACTCGCCTTGCACGCACACGATCCGGGTTCGACTCCCGGCAGGTGCGAAACTTTTCGTTTTTTCGCCCAAAACTAATTGGTCATCGGAACACTCGGAGCCGCTTGTCGTTTTTTGGAAAAAATCAATTTCGGGGTGGTATACGGTAGTTGGGGCAATTTTTAGGGATTTCAAGGTGTTGGGACCTGTTTTTGGTAGACTAATCGATCGTTAATCTTTCTTCAATATTGCCATTTGTGTCTTTACTCCCCCTCGATCCAAACCTTCCAAAATCCGGGGGCTCATCTCGGGTTTTCGCAGAATTTTGCCGGCCATCAAAACAGTGTTTTTTGGGATTTGCCCGTTGAACTTGGTGGAGGGAAAACGCTGCCACTCCGTCTGTCTGCCTCTCTCTCTCTCTCTCTCTCTCTCTCTCTCTCTCTCTCCAGCCAAGACGTGCATATTGCAGCAAAAAACCCTTCGTTCTGTAGCGTCCACCGTATTTCCGGTGCCAATTTCCAGCCCCGTCGGTCCCTTGTTTTGGCTATAATTAGAGCTGTTTTCTCTTTCTCTCTCTCTCTCTCTCTCTCTCTCTCTATTTCTGTCTCTCTCCCTCTTTTTCAGCTCCACCTCCTCCTCCTCCGTAGATCCGTTTTCCTCTATTTTCCGAAAGGCGCGTCATCTGGGGGGTTCAAGTCAGTATTTGGGTCGTTTAAAAGGCCGAATCTGAGCCTTATCTCGCCTCCAAATTCCGGATTGTCCTCTGCCCGAAATCTGACGTAATTCAGACCCATTTTTACCATAAAATTCGTATTTAAAAAGTCTTCCATTTTCTCGGGGATCCAAAAATTTCTTTAGTGCAGTCGATTATGGGATTAAATTCTTGGGTTATCAACCGGTTACACCATCAGATTTTTGTCGTTTTTGAATGAAATGGTTCGCATTCAATTACGCCATAAAATTCGATGTTTCAATTGGATTTTTTTTCTTTTTTAAACATCGAATCCCAACAAAAATCCACAAATTTCCAGGCAGCTACGCTCCACTCCCATTGACACCTTCGCTCTGATATTTGAACATTGCTGAAAAATGTATCCGCCATCCGACCAGGACAACAAACACACCGAGGTATCCATTATATCATATTAATGGCGTAATCGATTTTGGAAATCCGTTAAAAATTAAAAAATTCAAAAAGTTTTGCAGATTTTGATTTTTGCAGATTGTCGGTTCGGATTTCCTGTCGAAAGGCACCGCGGTAGCTGTCGTCGTCCCTTTAATGGCAATGTTGGCACTTCTGACACTTGGTAGGTAGACATAGCGAGAGAGCGAGAGAGAAAGAGAGAGAGAGAGAGAGAGAGAGATAGTCTGATCTCTGGCCTTTCCCCTCCATTGCATCGAGTACTAGACAATACTGCTCCCCCAGATTTTTCCCTCATTTCCGGTCGATCTGGCCGCCCAAAAATGGCTGCAAATGGGAACAATGGCCCCTTGGAAGCGTAGCGGCCGCCAAACTATGACCTAGCTACCGTACCCCAATACGGGGGCCGAGGCAGAAAACCAAAAGAAAACTGCTTATAACTCCATCACTAACATTTCTACCAAAAAGCAAAAAGTTTCGCAGCGGTCGGGGGTCGAACCCGGACCTTGTGCGCGGCAGACGAGAGCCTTACCAATTAGCCAACCTTTCCGGCGCTGGAATTTCTATTTTTAACCAGTTTTCCGGTTTTTACACGTTTTCCGGATGGGCAGAAATGCTAGAATTGTTGGGTAGCAGAGATTGGATGCCTATCTATTGAGGGCGGATTATCCGGTGGGCCAAATCCGAGGGGAAGCCAGAAATAAAACAATTTTCTTGGCCATCCTATTCCCATTTTTTCGGCAGATGCAGTTTGTGCGCGGGGTGGAAAGGCCAAATGTTGGATGCCATGTTGCGTCAATAGGAAAGAAAGAAAGAAAAGACGACATTTTGCAGACACAAAACAATGGATTATAAGGGTCGAAAAAGGGAAATTGTCTCGAAATTGACGCGCGAAAGGTCGGCGCAAGCGGATTGGGTTTTTTTTTGTCATCCAGAAAGTCATCGGGATCACCGGGATCAGTCTATTTTGGCCGACAAAGCCTGAGACGCACCGCGACACCGCAACGCATGCCCCAGAATTTCATTGCGTGATCGGTTTCCCAGGCGCATTGCGTGTCGCTGAAACGACAGGAGAAGGGCAAAATTAGGTGAAAATTTGCAAAAAGCCCTTTTTTTAAACGCGTAAAAGAGCCGGTAGCTCCGCGACACGCAAGGCGCAACGATTTCCATGGCGTAATCGGTTTCCTTCCGCGCGTTGCTAGCCGCGAGCGCGGCTAATCGCCGAAAAATCTTAGGAAAATGTAAAAACTACGTGAATACGTGCGGAAAACCGTTCTAAAACGCGAAAAAGAGCTTACCGTGCCGCGACACGCAACGCCCGCCCCGGCTTTTCCATTGCGTAACGGGTTTTCCAAGCCGCATCGCGCGTCACGGTTGGGGCTAAAACCAAAAAAAACACTAGGAAAATGACAAAATTTCGTGAAAACGTTCGAACAACCGCTTTTAAAACACGAAAAAGTGCGTTTTAACCGTTTAAAAACATTTTAACGCGGTTAAGGACAACTCACCGCACCGCTCCGCGCAACGCGAGCTTATTTCAATTGCGTAATCGGTTATCCACGCGTGCTCACATGATTCCGCGGTGTTCGTGAGTAGGCTGGCGGATAGTGCGCCAGACGACGGGGCGCAGACACACAGGGGAGGGGTGGGGCGCGGAATAGGCGGCGAAAGAGTGAGACTAGGCTATAGGCCACGGGGGAAGAGAACAGGGGGCGGGGCCAGAGCGCAGATTCTCCCTTCCCCTGTATGCCTGCCATCCTGTCCCGGTCAAACGAACACAACTGGTAAAGGGCGGAATGCTGTGGTGCTATGGCTTGTTTCACAAGAGTGAATAACGTCCAAAAACTACGCTAAACCTTTGAGAACCGTCTCTATCCTCCAGTTCTCTTTAGTATCGATAAAACAACAGAGATAATACCATATAACACATAACAAAATCCATAAAAATATTTTAATTTTACAGCCCTTGCCGCGATTCACATTTGCCGGCGGATTTGCGCACGCTTGGAGCGAAATGACGATGATTGCACGACGGTACTTGAGGATGTAAGAATTTTATACCTTTATTCTACTTTATATTAATTGATTTTAATTATATTTATTAGTTCTAGGGCAACAGTTAAAAAAATAAACTAGATCCAATATTTCAGCCACCAATCGCTCGCCCAATCACCCCGTCCGCCGAGAGTTTTCGCCGTAATTCCGCACAGGTATGCAATGGAAAAGCGCACTTTAGTAACAATGGAAAGTTAAGGCGTAAAAAGTTTGTCTAAAACTTCCAGTAAATGAATTTAGCGGCGAAAAACGCAAAATATTTGCAAAACGAGCGATTTTTGGGCGTAAATAGGATTTTTAGCGACCGGAGGAATTAGAATCAGCAAATTTTGCGATTTTTCGGATTTTTGTGATTTTGGGGTCAATTTTAACAATTAAAATTGCTGGAATATGTAAAATTATCTGGAGATTCCAGATTTGACCCTGAAATTGGCAAAGTCCCTCCTTTTCACGCTCAAAAAGGGGCCTCGAGAGCGTCGCGGTTGCGCGGTCGTGGCTGTGTGCCAAGAACCCATGTTTTAAATAAAATTTAAACTTAATAACATGTAGCATAATAAATAAATCAAATTAAATTATGCAAAAATAATGTATAGTTTTGAATGGATAAAAATCAACGTCGTCATTTTTTCAGGCGCAATACCGAGTGCTGATCCAGTCGAAATTCGAGCGGGAATTCGGCTGCCCCACCGCACATTCAATGTTCATGATTTAGCCCCGTATTTTGGCTGTATATTTAGCCTTTTTTATTTATTTTATTGCCCTGATCTCGCTTTAAACCCTAATTTTATAGGCACCATATGTCCTCTTTTTTCTCAATTTTCCACCCGATTTGGTGGGCGGCTGTGAATACCCGAATATGTTGTCGTTCGTTCTACGTGTACATCTACGAGTCCTTCTCCTCCTCCTTCTGCTTCTCCTGCTAAATCTTAATGCATAATAAAATGGTTTTTTCAACGAGGAAAAAATAGCAACCATATTTTTGAGAGTTTTTGGTATTTGGTCGTTAGCGGGGGGTTTTAGCGGGCAAACCAATTTTTATCTTTCGCATATTACCTGTTTCCTGAGAATACATGTTGATATCGTGCTTTATACCAGTTTTCCAATCTTAAAAAATTCTGAACAAATTTATTAATTTTTTGAAAGTTCACAAAAATTAAAGCTCTAAAAAATTAAAACAAAAAAAGCGGATTTTTGAGAGCCGACGAGCTGTAAGAATACTGTAAAATACTCTCGATCCCGCAAGCGTACTTGATCCCGATCTCACAAGGCGTGTGAAAACTCGATGCCACACGCAAAAATAATGGCGGTAATGCTAACATAAGTACTTTTTCGAATTATCGATTTTGCACGTTTTCGCCAATTTTTCAGGGTCATGGACATGTTTATTCGACTGCGAACACAGATAGATACGAGATGCGGAAACCGGAATCGGCAAATCCGGAATCGCGATCCGGAAAATGAGCAAATCCGCGAGGGGGGATACCAACGACGATACAAATGACAGTACGAGGAGATACGGGGAATGGCTACGCGGCCATACAATGGACAGTCGATCAGTGGGGATTGATCAGTGTTGGGGAGGAGGAGCATCAGCTGGTGATGCTCACGGGGTGTTCATCTGCGGCAGCTGGGCGAACAGCTCGAGCACGTCGTACTGGAAGGAGAGGGAATTTTTTTCTCTTGATCTCTAACCGTACCAGATGGTTACAGTCGCTTCGCGACTGCAACCATCTGGCCTTCGGGCTACACTACATGTCCCACTCCACCACATCCTTTCCCACCTCCATCAATACCCCCATAGCCGAAATCCCCTTCAAAAACTACCTAAATACCTTCCTGATGGCTTTAGACGATTTAAATAATTAATTAACATAATTAAAAAGTATTAAAAAGTATTAAAGTAACTTAAAAACGCTATCTGGGCGCGGGAAAGAGCCTTGTGAAGAGGGGCGAAGGGAAAGGGGGCGTGGCCTCCCGGGAGAGGGGCCCCCACTCGTTTTATTAAGGCGCAACTTTCAAAGTTAATTTTAATAATTTAAACTAAAACTTTTTCATAATTTTTTTATCAGTTTGGGGGTTTCTGACCACGCTCTATCCGAATCCGAAGAGAGCTAAGCTCTAGCTCCTTTCCCCTTCGAGTTGAATTCGGCTTCACACACACACACGGACGCCTCTACTTTTTTATTATAGTTGACCAGCGCCCAAAACCCGCTTCGCGGGCCTTGGGCGCTGGAATGTGGCCTTTGCATGAAAAATTTGACTTTCCGATAGCCCGGGTCCTGCGGACCCCTTCCCCCCGCCCCCGACCAAACCCGCGAGTGCAACTGGCCAGAATGAGTAAATTTGTATTTTTTCACATTATGCAAATTAGCCCTCCTGGACCCCCAAAAATGAATAAAACCGGCTTTAACTTTGTAAACTTGTATTTTATCGAAATTCTGAAAGCGCCATCGGAAAGAGGAGGGTCGATTCCCGTGACGGAAAATTAGGCATTTTATCCAGGGGAAGGTCCTTAATCAGGCCCTCGAAAGTGACATCCACACACACACACACACAAAGATAC